GGGGGATTATTGTGTGGGAGTGTTTTTCAGAGGTTGGGCTTGGCCCCTTAGTTCCACTGATGGGAACTCTTAAGGCATCAGCATGCCAAGATATTTTGGACAATTTCATGCTCTAAACTTTGTGGTAACAGTTTGGGGATGGCCCCTAACTGTTCCAACATGACTGCACACCAGTGTATAAAGCAAGGTCCATAAAGACATAGATGAGCGGGTTTTGGGCGGGAACTTGATTGCCCTTGATTGCCCTATACAGAGTTCTGACCTCAACCCGATAGAGCACCTTTGGGATGAATTAAAGCAGAAACTGCGAGCCAGGCCTTCTTGTCCAACATCACTGCCTGACCTCACAAATGCGCTTCTGGAAGAATGGTCAAACATTCCCATAGACACACTCCTACACCTTGTGGGCAGCCTTACCAGAAGAGTTGAAGCTGTTACAGTAGCAAAGGGTGGGCCAATTCAATATTGAACCCTATGGACTAAGACTGGGATGCCATTAAAGTTCATGTGCAGGCATCCCAATACTTTTTGCAATATAGTGTGTGTATATATATATATATATATATATATATATATATATATATATATATAAAAAGAGAGAGATGAGCTCCAATTTTGCATTTTACATGTGTTTTATGGTTTTTAGGTTTGTGAGTATACACCCTATTTTAATACATTCACACTTTCTATTAAGGTAATGCGCAAGGTTAGTGCGCTGTCTTTTGTTTGCATTTGTTTAAATAATTTCAGGGGTAGTGGTTTATATCTCTTTACAAGCCACAGTGATTTTCACAATTCAGCTATGGGTCTATTGATTTACCAGTAACTTCGTTCTTACTTATTATTAGTATGTATAGTGTTTTTGGGACATACAAGTATTTCCTTTGCGGTATTGTGTTCCCTATTTACTATGCATTTTAATGGTAGGGTGTATATTGTATGTAGTTCTAAGTCCTATGTTTCTAGATGGCAGACAGAAGAAGTCAATCTGAAACCTATGCAGGCAGACAGTATGCACCCCATTTGACTACCATTAATCGCCATTTAAATACTGAGCATTATGCACAACATATTTTTCTGCCAAGATGAATATGTTACCTATTCACGTAGCTATGGGAGGATTGTACATCTCAGGTGTAGAGGACACAGTTTAAAAGAGCATCATGTACCGGATTACAGGACAAGATGATGAGGGCCTCTGGTCCAATACTCCTGGAGAGGAGCACAGGGAATGTATGGATCCAGAGTGACACAGGTGTCAACAGTCCAGTCCACGGAAATTGGAAAAAGACTTGCCTGAGATGCATAGGTCAATAAGAAGATAACCCAGGAGAAACAGACTAGAAAGCAGCTGGCAGGATATTAGAGCCTTTGAGAAAGCTAATTAGCCCATAAGCTTCAGTTGGGAGGTGTCATCATTACGTTGGATGGAACTAAGATGCCATCTTGCTCAGGTCTTTTAGTATAGTGAAAAAAGTGATTTTACCCTTTCTCCCATATAACTACCTTGGTAAACACCATTAGCAAGGGACCCTCCGGTAAAAAGAAAGGTCGATCTAAAACGGCCCATGTGCTTGCAGCATCAGTGGAGCCAGCCACCTAGAATTTTCTGGAAAAGGGAGAACAGATCACTAAAGTGAGTCAAGACCTAAAAGAGGAGCTAATCTCTGTTGTGCATAATGTCTGAATACAAGGCAAATATGGCTGCATGAAGTAGTCTTATCCTCCCTGGCGGTATTCCCAAGTGTCGCTCGGGGTAAAGTTTCAGCACCACAAGCGGTAATCCTGAGCTACAGTTGGGAATACCTTGCAGCGCTGCTCTGGGATCTCTTCTTCACTTACCTTGTCCTGCGCTCCCGCGATGTCCCTCCTGTAGTGTCCCCTGCAATGTCCTCCGATGGATGCTGGCATCTGTCATCTGGGTTCCATTCCCTGCGACGTCAGGACGTACAGGGGACAGAAACTGGTGGGAATTTGAAAGTTGTAAAAGTGACATTCACTAAATACACTAAAATCACATAGTAAAACATTACTGTATCAAACTATTTCACATACATTTTGTCCCTAGTGCTTTGTCCTACGCCCTGCCTGCATTTTTACTGTTCTTTCTGCCTGGAAAGTGAGAAACGTCCATGGCGTCCAAAAAGCATCCCTTTAGGTCAAAAGTGGTTTTAGACCAGCTAGAGAACAGCGATAGTAAATTAGAACCACTTGCAGAATTGAGTGATAATGATTCGTGGGGAAATTCGACATCAGACATTGAAAACAATTTTGTGACTTTGCTCAGTGATGTGCAAACTTGGCTCTCTATTTAAAATTTCAGTGTTTTTGGTTTGATTATATTATTGAATTAAATTTATTATTATTATATTATTATTTTTTATGATTATTTATTAAATTATAATTTATGATTTCACGTTTCAAATTTTAACATACCCGGAATGTTTACTAGACTCTTGTTCGGACAGATTTCAGTGAGTTATTCCTAAAAATTACAGGCCTACAATAAAACAATACATATTTCCATGCAAAAAAATGTACCGCTTTGAGCACAGAAATATGGACATAATCAAACCGCTAGGGAGGTTAAAGAGATTGTAATTCCTATTGTCTGGAACTGTGAGCTATTACAACAGGAGAGTCCCTAGTGGACAGGAAATGTCCAAGGAAGCCAGAGACCCTGGTGGATGATTATACATTTGCTCTAGCATTATTTATTGGAGGTGGCACGTCTGTTTATGTATATGTGCACATTGTGGAAGACCAGATTGGTACGCAATATTAATATCACAGAAGAATATTTTTGTCACTGAATGCTGGACTATTTAAAAAACTAAGGAAAAGACTGATTTAATATTATAGCACAGTTTTATATATATATATATATATATATATATATATATATATTTAGGCCTTTATTGTTATTTGCACTATATACATAGCTATTAGGTTTATATATATGTATTTTTTTTGTGTTTTATTGTTATACACATTATTCATCAAACATACATAGTGCTCTTTGGTATACTATTAGCACCATTTTTATTATTCAGTAATTTTTGTTGTGGGAACACAATAGTTGTTGGCAGCGGTTACATTCATTATACATTTTATGTTGAGTGTGTTCAGTTAAAGCTTTTGTTATTGATAGTACAGAAGTTACAACTTTTAGTAGGATATTGGAATACCCGGCAGGCCAGAAGCAAAGTCAAAGACAGACAGAAATCAGCAGGGAGAAGACAGACAGCAGCAGGGTTCAGTTCAGAGTAGTGGTTAGAAGGCAGATCAGAGTCACCCTTTCATTGACTGTAAGTTTTCTATTGTCTTTTAACATAGACCTTTGGATTTTAATGTCAGTGGTGCTCAATATTCATCCAATTGATTTATACCTATTAACAGTTCTGGTATGGCCTTATTGTGAAGATTGTTATTGTATTGGGAAGAGGGTCCCAATTCCTTGGCCTAGCAGTTACCCTGGTGTAGTTGGGTAGGGAGCCACTGTAAGTATCTACACCTTGCTGTGAAAGTGATAGTCCCCCAGTGTAAGGGCCCTTTCAGGGACAGCTCCTCCCTGTGGTTGCTGGCCTGAATGCCCTTTCACTCCTGCACTAGGGGTATATAAACACGCTGTGTGAGCATTAGTTGATTGGTTGGAACCCTCCAGTGTAATGGAGGGACCTGAGGACTTTTCCCCTTTTAGTCTGAACTTAGCAGATGTTCCCCAGGGGACTGCTCCCTAATGGGGGTAACTGTCTCTGTGAAATCTAATGTAGGAACACACACTTACTGCTATGTGGTGCAGACAATAACACCCTGAGGGCTGTTTGTAACCATTCTGTTAAGTGCGTGCCATAATTACTTTTAACGATTATTGTCATGTTAACCCTAGCCACATAAAGTTGGTATCATTATGGGGAAATTGTCTGGGTCCCTTAGCCTTCTGTGTTATTAGGGAGTTACTCTTGGGCTTGAACTACCTTGGACTTGTGTCTAGGGTAAGGAGCAGGATTCAGCCTTCAGTTTAAAAGGGTGGTAAAGTGGACTGAATTCCATTTAGGCCAGGCTGGATCTCTCCTAGTGCTTCTAGGGGTGAAGTTTGTGTTGCCATCCTATTAATCTCAGATATTCTGGGAGAGCACATGAAGGGAAACTGGAGGATAATACAAGGGAATCCCAAACCAAGTATCCTGCATGCGTTCCCGCTAGACAACATTATCACATATACCCAGTATAATTTTGGGCTAATAGGGAGGAGTTTCCATCAATTGGTAGGTTTTAAATGTTTAATGATTTAGGGTTATGATTTTTTACATAATGAATTTTGTATCTCAAAAGAGAATTTTCCTAACTTTTTGTGCCAGGTTCTAGTACCATATCTAGTGTTTGTACTTTATAAAATAATGCAGAGAGATTAGATAAAACTTCATTGTCATTGCAAAGCAAATTACAATGAAATTCTATAAAAAAAACTCAACACATACACAATATTGCCAAAAGTATTGGGGGGCGCCTGCCTTTATACGCACATGAACTTTAATGGCATCCCAGTCTTAGTCTGTAGGGTTAAATATTGACTTGGCCCACCCTTTGCAGCTATAACAGCTCCAACTCTTCTGGAAAGGCTGTCCACAAGGTTTAGGAGTGTGCCTATGGGGAATATTTGACCATTCTTCCAGGAGTGCATTTGTGAGGTCAGGCACTAATGTCAGATGAAAAAGCCTGGCTCGCAGTCTCTGCTCTAATTCATCCCAAAGGTGTTCTATCAGTTCCTCCATCCCAAACTCGCTTATTCATGTCTTTATGGACCTTGTTTTGTCCACTGGTGTGCTGTCATGTTGGAACAGGAAGTGGCCATCCCCAAACTGTTCCCACAAAGTTGGAAGCTTGAAATTGTACCAAAATGTCTTGGTATGCTGACACTTTAAAGTTCCCATCACTAGAACTAAGGGGCCAAACCCAACCCCTGAAAAACACCTCCACAGCATAATCCCCCCTCCACCAAACTTTACACTAGGCACAATGTAGTCAGGCAAGTACTGTTCTCCTGGCAACTGTGAAACCCAGACACGTACATCAGATTTCCAGACAGAGAAGTGTGATTCATCACTCCAGAGAACACATCTCCACTGCTCTAGAGTTCACTGCATCCGACACTTTGCATTGCACTTGGTGATGTAAAGCTTGGATGCAGCTGCTCAGCCATGGAAACCCATTCCATGATGCTCTCTACTCACTGTTGTGATAATCTGAAGGCCACATGAAGTTTGGAGGTCTTTAGCTATTAACTCTGCAGACATTTGGCAACTCCTGCGCACTGTGCGCTTCAGCACTGCCCCGCTCTGTCATTTTACGTGGCCTACCACTTCGTGGCTGAGTTGCTGTTGTTCCCAGTTGCTTCCACTTTGTTATAATACCACTAACAGTTGGCTGTGGAATATTTAATAGCAAGGAAATTTTACGAATGGACTTATTGCACAGGTGGTGACATATCACGGTACCACGCTTGAATTCACTGAACTCCTGAGAGTGACCCATTCTTTCTCAAATGTTTGTAGAAGCAGTCTGCATGACTAGGTGCTTGATTTTATACACCTGTGGCCGTGAAGGTGATTGGAACACCTGAATCCAATGATTTGGAGGGTTGTCCCAATACTTTGGCTATATAGTGTATGTGAAACATATAACAACCTAAACATGCACACATGTGAACATTACACCCCCCGTATAAAAACCTAAAAGAAACCCCTACCACAACAACAAGCCAAGTCACTTGGAGCTAGATAATATTACTCAAAATTACCAAAAAATGCCTTGTTGATGCCAGTGGTCAGAGGAGAATGGGCAGACTGGTTCGATTTGATAGAAAGCAGGGGCGGACTGACCATTTGGAAACTCGGGTCAGTAGGGGGCCCCATGAGATGCCCCTGGTACCTTTTTCATAGGCTTTTTTGAGTTTGGGCAAGGACACAGGGGCCCCATGATCCCCTATTGCCTGGGGGCCCCATGAGTTGTCAGTCCACCCCTGATAGAAAGGCAATAATAACTCATGTCTTGTTGAATCTATGTCATGAAAACTTAAGACAGTTCTGAAGGCAAAAGGGGGTGCAACCCGGTACTAGCAAGGCGTACCTAATAAAGTGACTGGCAATGTATTTTACTTTCCTCTCGTATTGCTCCCTGTTTGTTTTTGTACCTTATATTTGTTAAAACTTCAGACATCAATAAACTCAGATTGAAAATAAAATGGGCTGAGTTTTTAAATCTAGATAACATAAAAGGCGATAAATAGTTTATATTAGTAAGAAATAACATTGTAGATTGCGAATATGGGAGTTATATGTGTTTTCAGGGTTTTTTTTGCTTCTTTCATCTGTGGATTTTGTTTTTGATTTTGGGTTAAACTTGGTGGACATATACTTTTTGTTAATGTGACCTATACATTACTATATATTTCCTTTAAAAATAGTCTTCTTGGGTATATGGAAAGTTCACATGGGACTGGACAGTTGATGATAGAATTATCATTAGGATGATTGATTATACCTCCTGCTTGAGTCCACCATATGATTCATGTGTCATTCTAGTCAAACTTGTTAAATCTTCTCCACTCTTTAATAAAAATGTCCAGCTGGGAAATATGGCTAATGGAAAATTATCCAAACATTAATTGTACTTGAAAACTTAAAATCCACAGCTGTTTTGCTTAAATAATTACTGTAGTTTATGGCTCATAATATATTCCATATTAAAGGAGGCACTCAAATGTTAGATATTAAAAAGTATTAAAAATATAGATCAGCAGGCCTGGTGGGAGCTGAAAATAGACCCAATCCTAATCACTAAAAACTCTTATAAACTTGAACAAGTTAAGATATTTTTAAAGTTGTTTTTAAATGTGCAGTTTTCATACAAGGTATACCAGGTGATCCGGTCATGGTCCATGTTCAGACATTTCCCTTTATGAACTAGCAACATCCCCCCAATTGTGTTCCGGTATTATCTCCCTCAATGAAACAAAACCCATCCTGTACCATTAACCTCTAATATTCAGAATAAATAAGGTGGATGAAAAGCAGCGATGGCACTGCAAATCTAGAATATAGTGAAAAAAGATAAAAAATGTTGTTAAAAACGTTGATTTACTGAGGCATAACACCAATGGCAGCATTATTATTAACCAGTGTGTGGGCTTTTCTGTCAATTGTATGTGTTGTCACCTTACCGGTTATTAGGCAGGAATGGCCCACTGTTGTCACTATGAACTGAACAACGATGTGTAATTCTGGCATGAGTGCACCTAGAGAGGAAGTAGCTGAAAGAGCGTAGAGAACAGCAGCACTAAGATGTAAAAACGGATAAAAACAATGCAAAATGGTATTTTATTATTGAAAAAAGGGCAGTTGTTTTTGATACACTATGCTTTGGACAGCCAAGGGGTATTTTTTAGAAAGCAATGAATGTGACTTTCACCAAAAATTCACTGAAAGTGAATCTTCACCTGCAGTGAATGTTTGGGGAGCAGGGGCGGACTGACCATTTGGAAACTCGGGCACTGCCCGAGGGCTTGGGGTCAGTAGGGGGAGATGCCCCTGGTACCTTTTTCATAGGCTTTTTTGAGTTTGGGCAAGGACACAGGGGCCCCATGATCCCCTATTGCCTGGGGGCCCCATAACTTGTCAGTCCACCCCTGTTGGGGAGTGTCATATTTACTGCTTCAGAAATATGCTGCTAAATATCATATAGTTAGGCTGCTTTCAGACTGATGACTTACAGTTTGACCAAACCGTGGGAGCAGTGCAGTGTACCTGTTGATTTGATGTGGTTACTTGCGCTTTCTCATAGAATTCTATTATATTCTGCAGTTTGGTGCTCCAAATATCCTGCATGCTGCATCTTTGCTGCCCTTTCCAAAGGTGCACCAAAATAGCAGGACCTAATAGAACTTAGCCTTAGCCTTGGTTCACCTATGAACTGCATATGAATTGCACAAGAACCGCACCACATTCCGTGCCATGAGATTTAAGCCCATTCATTTGTCATGTATGCACTGATTTTGGAATCACACTAAAACTGGATCGCATGGTTGTTTTGTGCCATGCTATCCAGTCCAGGCAAACGCATTGTGCTTGCAACCTGTATTTGGGGTATAATTAAAATTGCATTGACACCCGCTGCAGATCCCAAGGGTGCTGCAATTTGAATGTGGTGCAGGAAACGTGCATGGATCGTAGATGCAGTGTGAGCCTAGGCTTAGGGTTTAGATGTACTTCAACTCTTCTAGCCACTTTGTTCTGCAAATTGAAGGGCCAATATCTATACTTTAAAGTGTTACTAAACCCACAACAGTAAAATCAGTCTGTATATGCAGTAAAGCATGCTTGTTATACTCACTGTGCAACCTAAGGGGTTAATCCTCTGCATTATGTAAAAAGGTTGTTTGATCCTGACTTATCTGCTTCTCTTCCTGTTCAGATGTCCACGTCTTATCTCCTATTAAGATAGACTGAACCTGTAGCCATTCTGCACATGCTCAGTTTGGTGTGTATTGCTAGATAGGTTTTTTTTTTCTTGGGAGAGTGCAAGTGATCAGCACAGAGCCAATCAGCACTGTCCAGTCAAAGGTCAGGGGTCCTGCCTCCTCCTAGAGCAGAAAGAAAACTCCTCCTACAAGCTTTAACCAGTGCTCTGTTGGATACTGATAGAAGTCACAAGACTGCGCTAACTGCTGATGAGAAAAGGTATTTAGCAGCTTATATTTACTAAAATAATTGCATTTCCATGTTCAGTGTACTTTGGGAGATTAGAAACAGTGGATGCAGAGCCCTGGGTTTAGTAACACTTTAATGGGCTTGATAAACATTATACATAAGTATTCTCTACTACAATAACCTTTTTTAGTTCCGTCAAAAGCATGCATATTATTATTAATATGTACTGTATAATGTACTGTATAATCTTTTCAATGGTTTTTATAAACATGTAAAAATTGGTCAGGTTGATGTTATTAATCTTTAAGTATATGATAATATTTTCAAAAGCTTGTTCCTATGTATAATTTGTAAGTATTTAATTAGTGTACACTGTACAGATATTTTTGCCTATTACATGTGCAGGTTTTGCTTCCTACTTCACATGGCTACACAATTGCTGTTTAGGGGTCCATGCACATTGGCTTAAAAAAAATGCTGTTCCTAGAGGAGTTTAGCATTTTGCCTTTAGAATCAACTAATATTATCCTATGTGTCTATGCACATTGGTTGGTTTAGAAGCAGAAAAAACCCTTCTGTTTTGCATTTTGAGAGTGGTTTACTGGGAGGAAAAAAAAACCATTAGATGCTCCTAAACGCTGCTAAATGCTTCTAAATGCTTTTACAAAAAAACCCTCAAAATTAGTTTTTTTCTGCCAAGAGCACTTGCGGTTTTTTAAGCCTGTGTACTTGGACCCTAAGCCCTTCCTGCCCATCAGTATATAAACATTCCTGTGCAAAAAACAGGAGCCGTTTTTTATTTAAACAGTTCACCAAAAAAAAGGCTTACGTGTCTTAAAAAGAAAAAAGAAACATATTTAGGTATGCAAATTGATCTTAGAGTTATTGTTGAGTTAATTAACACATGCTGAAGCTGCTAAACTTGCTCAGGGCTAATTAAAGCAAAAAAAAATAAAGAAAAACAAGCTTGTAAACATATGAACACCATACAAAAATGGCTAAGGAAACACTAAAATATGAAAAAGTGCTCCTTGAAAATACACTATACTTTCTCCTTACTGTATCATTTTACTAGGCAATAGATGGGATTCATGTTCCTCATCAAAAATAGTATCCAAAAATGGCAATTCCTTGTCAGCATAATAATATTTTAAGGTCCTTCTATGAAATATTTTTTCCCACTCTGTCTGTAATTTGTCCCATTTTCATTTACTGTCTGTCTTTCTCTTGTGGTTCCATTGCTCTCCACTCCTCGGCCTCGTTCTCTCGGTTGGGCAACTCGTGTCTTTTCTCTGGTGAATGTACAATGTTAGAGAGAGCAGCTGGCACTGTGAGATAACAGGCTAATTAAATCGGCATTGTGTGAGCAAACTGGAGGGGAGAAAGGGAGCGTAAGAAATGCCATTCAGTGCCACGCAGTGCCACGGCAACTACTAAGCCCAGTTTGTGCCAAACGCTCAAAATATTCTTATGCTTAAATGTCTAAACACAAGTCTGCAGGCCATTGCTTGAAAGTTTGGAAAGGTTAGCAGTTTTTCTTGAGAGCTCGCAGTTTTGTATTTGGCATAGAGATATACATAAATAGTGCCTTGCTAGCTGTCATCATATAATTTTTCTGCATGTCACCAGCTCATCACTTTTGGCATTTATGTTATAATTTAAAACCTAACTGCAGCCAATTATTTATTTATTTATTTATTTAAAATTTTTGGATAGAGGTGGGAAGAATTAGCATTTCGTTCAGGTTTTAAATTCAGTATAATAAAAATTTCTATCTGTGACACCACTAAGGAGATTTTTCCTCAATTCCTGGCCCACACAAGAATTTGGGGGGGGGGGGGGTGTACATATTGTCACCAGAACTGAAAGGTACAGACAACAATAAAGTAATTACCACAATATCTAACCCTCTCGCGCTGTCTAAAAATGTGGTTTTGTCTGTGTACTCAGTAGAAAGTTTTCCTATAACTTTAAGTTCTAACAGATAGTAAGGGGAAACCTTTTAGGCTCCATTCACATTGGTGTATTTTTCCAGGGCAACAAAAGCCCATAAAAACTATTCCTCTTTAAAGCGGTAGTAAACTGCAAAAAAAAATCTACAAAAAATCTTCCTGCAAGTGAAGAGCATAATGTGCTAGTATGCATCGCATACTAATACATTATGAAAGACTTACCTGAAAATGAAGCCCTCCAGCGGAGCACAGTCACGGCTCCCCGGGGCTTCCATCTTCACTCAGTCCTCCTTCGGGGTTTTCAGGCTGTGGCCATGATTGGCTGAGGCGCGGTGACGTCACTCCCATGCAAGCACACGGGTGTCTCGGCTGCAGCACAGCTCTCCCGATGGAAGGCACACCATTGAGAGCACAGTGCACATGCAT